AGATAACAGACAACAATCTGATAAGTGATAACAACTGAACATATCATAGCAATGTTCAAACTCAAGTTACTAATGAATGTCTAACTGAAAATGTATGCATTCACACATAAAATACGCATAATACAACGTTTGCATTTAAAAATCACCTAAGTTAATAAGTCCCAAAAGGTGAAGCCGGTTGTGATTGGGATTTTGATTTTGATTGCAATTTTGATTTCCTTTTGTTTGGCACCATATGAGCTTTGGATTTTGACGAGGATCCATATTTTGGTAGAGGAAAAGATGATTGTGATGGCACTGGTGATCCACAGGTCAACCTTGTATGACCACTTTCCTTGCACCGACTACATGTCGATATCCTCTTCTCTTCACCCTTAGACGGTATACGATCATGATTTTTTGGTCGGCCAGGTAGCCTACTGTCCATGACTGGTGGCAAAACTGTTTGTGAGTCATCTGGTATGTCCCACTCAGAAGAATGTGAAATAGGGTAGACAATCTCGGCATAAGTCTGTCGATATACTTCTGTAGTGTAGCAATCCATAGCGTATGCGCTTGAATCATCTTGGTTTAGATGAAGAGCAACTTTTATAACATGGCCACAAGATAACCAGATGTTTTCCATTTCTTACAACTACACGTCTTTTGCATTTAGATCGACAAGCCCATTTAAGTTATTATCCAATACTTCAAACAAAGTGTTTGAACATGGTTCAACTCTCCATGACGTTGACTTCACAACACATTTCGTTATCTTTTTTTAGTCCATGGTGTAACACGACGTTCCAATGTTCCTGTAAATTTAAATAAATAATACTTAGTAAAATATATTAAATATGATAAGTTTACGAATTTAAAGAAATAATACATGCATGGTTTCTTTTCTTGTAGTACCACTGTTCAATAGAGGCTCGAAAAAACTCCATTAACATAGTAATGGGCAATTTCCGGGAATGACGACTTAGAGCGTTGATTAATTCTGCACTATTAGACGTCATGAAACATATCTTGCTCCAAGTTAATGTACTCTTGACCATCTTTCAAACTCGACATCTTCTAGTGTTTGAGCACATTGAGGCAAAACACGTCTTAAACAATTTATAAGCTTATTAAAATCCACTTCCCGATAAGCTTTTACAGCCTTCCAGTATATTCATTTGTGATTTTTTATACCATCAGACCTTGATTTTAGATTTCTGTACAAATGAACACCACAAAGTCCGTGAAAAGCATCTGGGAAACACCTTCTAACAGTGTTTTCAATTGAGTTTGCCCTATCGAATATGATTGCCATATTGCTAATAGGACCTATACAATCCCTAAGATGCCCATAAACCATGTCCATGAATCAGAGGTTTTAGATTTGCCAACCCCGTAAGCTATTAGCAGTATCCAATTGTTAGCATCCATGGCTACTGCTAATATGTTTACTCCAAGGTATCGACCTTTCAAATGTGCTCCGTCAACTATAATAATTTGGCGCATGCAAGTAATAAATGAACGAATCTACAAAATCATATACACAAGAAATATAATCATTTAAATGTGAAATGCATGCAACTAACAAAAATGAGTCAACAAAATTATAATGATTTACTAACTGCAGCACCAATGGCGATAAACAGCAACTCAAAGTGTCCATCTCTATCTGTATTGATATGAGTTACCGACCCAGGATGTTTCAGCTTTAAATTGTGACAATAAGCCGGTAGTTGGGCAAACGATGCTTCTGGCGACCCCCCTCAACAATTCCAAGGCATAACATTTGGCTCTCCTAGCTTGAGAATATGAGATACTAATCTTGAACCGAGCATTCATGTCAGTCATAATTTCATGTCCCTGATATACCCTTCCATTCAAAAACATTAACTCAGCCATAAAACCACCCAAAACCTTTTTGTTTGCCTGTCTATGGTGAGGAAAAACTTGGGTTCTTGAACATTTATGTTTATCAATAAAAGTCCTAACTTGAAACATTTCGCAATCTTTTATCCTCTTTGCAGTCATACGCCACGTACAGTTTTTGTCAATCATACACTTTATTTCGAAATGATCTTTGCTTGATTTGTTAACTTTTAGTTGATAGTCATCTTCCACACATTTCGTATACAAAGTTATCTTCAAGTCTTCCTTTGTATCAAAACAATCATCTTTCTTGATACGAATAACTTTTGTGTAACAATCAATTGTTATCTTTACCAACTATTATTCCGGTATCTGAAATAATTCTGGCATATTCCAATTATACTCCCGTGGCATTTTCCAATTATACTCCCATGGCATTTTCTTCTTTTTCTTTTCTTCGGGGACTTCTTCTTTTTCTTTTTCTTCTTCTTTTTCTTCTTTAGGGTTATATTAATTACAGAATGGATGTTAAACATGTTCATTCACAGTCGTAACTTCCTCCTCATTATCATCAACAACATCTTCCTTGGCAGCGATTGTTTCATCATCAAAATCTGGGTATTGACCAATATCAAAATCATTACATTCAGGGTCTGTTTCTTCTTCTGAAACATCATCAAAATCTGAGTATTGACCAAGATCAAAGTCCGGGTATTGACCAAGATCAAATTTTGAATACTGACTAGTACTCACAATTTTTCCTGTTGGCTCATAATTGTCTAACTGGTCAATAAAAAAATCAGAATTTGATGCTGAAAGTTGATTGAGATTTGGATTAGGAAAAGGTTGTGGGTTTTGAGATTGTGTTTGGTATTGGAAATGTGGTGAAACAAAATTTTCTTGGTGATGAAATTGTGGTGGAACCATTAAATTTTGAGATTGATAACAACGTTGTACATTGTGAGCACCATAAACTGGGGTTGAAGAACTTAGTTGACTACTACCCGCTACTGACCCAACTTCACTACTTCTAGGTTCAACAACATACAATGTAACATCATCTTCTTGCGAAACACTAATGTAAGCAATGAATCGTTCAACATCTTCATTGTCGGTTAACAAATAAACTTTACCTTTTCTCTGATAAGATAGCCTAAATCCACTTAGAGGCTCTAAATTCAATTTCTTTGCAACATGTAACATTAGAGTTTCATAAGTTAACTTTTTTAATGACAGTTTTAGTTGAAGATTCATGGGTAAAGGCACATATTGTAAAACACCATGAACATTCTCTCATGACCCTCCAAAACACAAATCTATCCAAACATGATCAACATTAGATGATTTCATTCTACAAATTATAAATTAATTTACTGAACAAACAAGCTATAAACTACATATCATCACTAACTTAGAGAAAAACATACCTTTATTAAGTTGATAATTGATAATTTGGGAGAGAAATCATTGAAAAATTATATAGAAATAAAATTATGTAAAAAAAATTAGAGATGGGGAAGGATGTCGTTGGATATAGGAACGGATGTCGCCGGAGAGAGTGATAGATGGAGATGGAATGAGTTGCGGTTTAGGGATTTAGGTTATGAGTTGATGCTGCTGCGTAGTTATATACCCAAAACATTTGTGTTGCGAAACTAAAACCTGTTGCGAAATTAAATTCGTGTTGCGAATTAGAAAATCGAGTTGCGAATTTGAAATTCAGTTGCGAATTTCAAATTCAGTGTTGCGAATTTGACTTATGTGTTGCGAATTTGACTTCTGTGTTGCGATTTACAAATTCGCGTTGCGATTTACAGATTCGTGTTGCGAATTTGACTATCGCGTTGTGAATTTGACTTTTGTGTTACGAATTTGACTTCTGTGTTACGATTTACAATTTTGCGATGCGATTTACAGATTTGCGTTGCGAATTTGGAAAATTGCAATGCGAATTTGGAAAAACGCAATGCGGTTTACATATTTGCGTTGCGAATTTGGAAACTGGGTTGCGAAATTGGAGTTCGCGTTGCGAATTTGTTGGTCATTTTCGCAAATCCAAAAAAATTTGGTTAAAATCGTATATTATAAGGCATTTTCGGTCACTGAGGTTATTTTCTCTATAGATTATTTACTCGAGGTAATTTTATAAACTATGAATTTGTTTAGATTACCAAGCATTACAAACAAATTTATAATTTAAATTATAATTAATTAAATCGTTAAGTACTCAATAAGTTTATATTTATTTTTACTTGTTATTTAATATGTAATTCAAGTTTAAGAGTATAATATGCACAAAAGATACATAAATAAATACAAGAATTTATCAAACGAATCCGTTAAAATTGATTACAATACTAATTATCTTAGTTCAATAAACATAAAATAGAACTTATTGAGTAATCTTAGAGATAATTATATAGATTAAGAAGGTACATATGATCTGCAAATGTAATTGTATGAACTCATATCCAATAGAGATAATAATTTCCCTTTTCACTTATATTTTCAATATATTTTACTACCAATGTATTTAAATCTAAATATTATCCAAATCCTCATTTATTTTGCCTCATTCCTTAAGACAGACTTAATTTGATTGGGTGAAGTTCTCATATCTCCTTGACCATGTCGTCGGTTAGTTCTTGCTCCCTCTTGTATTAGCTTTTGCTTTTGATCGATGAGTATTAACCTTTCCTTTTCCTTTTTATTGATTATCACTTTGCAATCTGAAGTTGATTCACATTTGGTGTTTGTATCTTTGAATCATTTTGTATTTGTTTTGTTGATCCAACCATTACTGTAACTCTGTGCATAATGTAGCGTGAGTTTCAATGGATTCTTGAGGTTGATGGCTTGTATGCATTTGATTTGTGATTGCTTCGTTGAATCGTTCTAGATTCCCCATTAATTTTTCTTTTTAGATTGATTCATTTATTATTACTCGTAAGCTTGTTGAGGTCGAGTTCTGCTTAGTGCTTATTTTCTAAGTCAACCGAAATCGTAGGTTATGAGTTCCAGATATTATAAAATTAATAAGAAATTGTTATTTGAGGTTGATAATTTGCATATATTTACATTTTTTTATCTCTTTTGCTTTTAGTTATGAAGATTCTACTCGTCATGCTTCTTGTCATTTGCAGATTGTGAAAATTAAAGTCAGCAATGTTTCTTTACGAGCAACTGAGCGGGACATCACTGAGTTCTTTTCCTTTTCTGGTGATATAGAATATGTTGAAATGCAGAGGTTGGTGGCACTTTCAGCTTTAGTTCCTAGCATCTTTTATTCTTCCTTTTCGATGTGGTGTAAAGCTTATTATATGATTATGCAGTGACAATGAGGTGTCTCAAATTGCCTATGTTACCTTCAAGGATTCACAAGGAGCTGAGACTGCTATTCTTCTCTCGGTAATTCAGCTGCATGCTATCAATAATGTCATTTATTTGATGAAAAAATGTGTGTTTATGGTTTCTTTATTGATAATCATGATATAAGGCTATCTGCAGTCCAATTCCTGTCTTCCCCAGATTGTTTAAATGTTGAACCACCTTTGATCCATGGACAACATGGATAGCTTTAATTTGGAATCAACTTATAGTTTTACCTATAGGACAAGTCCATAGATAAACAGGGACATCATTTGGTCAAAGAAAAGTAGTCCAGCATGAATCTATTCTCTTTATGACATACATACAACTTAAATATGTACTTGTGTTTCAGGGAGCTACAATAGCTGATATGTCTGTCAACATCTCGTTGGCTCCAGATTACAAGCTGCCTCCTTCTGCTTATACGCCGTCTCCTGTAAGTGTCACGCCCTATTGTTAGTTTAAACAATAGAACAATGCTTACAATTCTATTGTTTAAACTACAAGCTGAGGCTGTTGATGTTAACTGGTGCTTCCAGCACTTAGAAAGCATGTTGTTGCTACACTAACAAGCATTTCCTTGTTTAATTTTTGACATAACATTGAGCTATAAACATCACAAATAATGCATATGAGAGTGACCGTAATGCATAATGCAACAAAAAATTGACATAATAAATAGATAATCAATTATATCAAACAGTTGGCGGATCCACTCTTTAGTGAGAGAGAACACATGTTTACCTTAACTTTAAACTTTCTTCGGGTAATTATTTGTTTTATTGTCTGTGTCCACCGTATAAAAATTTTATGTTATTAATATGCATATATGTCCGACCTCAAAAATATTTTAAATATGCATCTTATATGAAATTTTCATTATTACATCGAATGTTTAGGGCATACTACAAACAAAAACTCATATATATGCATGGCATTACTAACAAAAACTCATATATAAATCAATGCATGGCTTCATCAACCCTAAGAATTATCAAAAGAAGCAGAAGTAATTGCATAAGAGAATTCTTCAAAACTGATCTTTCCGTCGCCGTCAGTATCGGCTTCCATGATCATATCCGTCAACTCTTCCACCGTGAATGAAAGTCCGAGCTTCTCCATAGACTGAGCCAACTCAGCCGCTGTGATGAAGCCATTGCCATCACTATCAAACAACTTAAACAACAGCTTCAGTTGCTCCTCGCTGTAGGGTGATTTCTCCTCCAACATAAGCTCCGGCGCTACTATCGTCACGAACTCCGGGAACTCCACCAGCCCATTGTTGTTTGCATCTGCCTTTTCTATCAAGGCTTCCACCTGGTCCGAGCTTGGATTTAGCCCTAATGACCGCAAAAGTGAACCGAGTTCCAATTGTGTTAGGCTACCATCTTTGTTCCTATCGTATGATTGAAAGATCTCTCGTAGTTCTGCGAGTTGCTCTTCGTCTAGCTTTGTCGTTTGCTTGTTGTTCATGCTCATAAAAAAAGAAACTTCAAAATGTCTATATCTATAATTCTTATGAAATTTTAAACCATGATCACAACAAAGTCAAAAAGAAACTCCTTGGCTAAGTAATAACTGGAACAAATTAAAATGATTGTACACGGCTCTGTGAGGCAGATTGGGTCATCACTTCCATTAATGATCTGTGAGAAAACAAGGTGACATTAATTAATGTCTATTGTAAGATATGGGTTGGCTTTTATTGGTGCCTATAAACAGTATTGTTCGTTCCTGGAATTCCTTCACTTTTGGTGGATCTTTGCTTTTGTTTTACAAGAGTTTAACCCAAATATCGGATCACACGTCTTTCTTGCTGACTATAGACTTTGTCAGCCGTTACTCCCTCAAAATCTTTACAATGATTGTCTTGGTGGTTAAAATAAGTATTTATTTTTTCTAAAAGTCTCAAGATTAAAAAGTTGTATTTATAAGGTATGTATATTGTCAATAACTAAAAATATTATATACAAGTGATTATTCTCTGATTTGAACAGTAACACAAATAAGACACATGGAATAGTGGGCGTCTTTTGCATGGTCCGGGAAAAACGCTTAGACGTGCACGGACATGGAAATATAGAAAAGACGTCGGATCTTCCATGCATTTCAAGAAGACTCTAGGTGATCCATACGATTTTTGGTATGTTGTAGAGACCATCCTATTAGAGAAAATAAATTGAGGTGGTCATTACAAGGGAAAATTTTCTCCATACTTTATTATCTACATGATTTTGTCAATGTTATTTTATAATTATCCAGACTATTTAAAAAAAAACTCATGTTACAATATCAGTTATATTTACATAATTTATTTTGAATCCAGGTCAAAGGATGGGAAGCTTCTTATAACCTCGTACTATGTCCCGATGGGGCAGAATAAGAATGTTATGTGGTGGACTGGTTGCCGTGAAAATGAAATTTTGTTGAAAATTATGTCATATTTTCCACGTTCAATTATTACCTATTCTTCCTTCACATTACTGGTCATAGTTTGACAAAAGAATTTGGGTTCACGACGGAATTGAATTGGTCAATCACTACCAACCATTTCACACTTGGATTCTTTTAATAATATGGAAGGGAAAAGGACGTTCTATGATTTACTACTAACCAAAATTTGAACATCTTCTGTCAATACATTATGATAATTTTTTTACAAAAATAAAAACAACTCATTTATTAAGATAAAAATATATTCGAAATTATAGTAAAATTTTATAACTAAAATCGTAAACCAAATACATAATTGGGACATTCTCCTATAATCATTAACACGTGAAGTTAGCCACTTAAGATCATATAAGAAAAAGATAAAAACTTCATCCAAAAAAACTCTAATTATAGGTAGATACTAACAGATCTTAGTGCTACAACAAACGAACCACACTAGGGAATTAAACTATTTAAAGATCGTCGATAAATGCAAATCAGAGTCAAGCATTGTGACAAGACTATATACGAACGCATGCTGTATAGCCAAATCCAATTCGATGGTCCAAAATAGAGAATATCAGCATGATAATAATTGAGTGTCATCTTGATCAGTAATGGCACCGTTAATTCAACCATGAGAAAATTAAAAGACAAGAATAGTCAAACGACCGAAAAAAGAAAATCGAATAACGTATTAAAAGACAAATAAAAATATATCATAAAGGTAGATAACAATGTGTTATAAAGACATAGTTATTAGAAATACAAAAAAAATAAATATGCCATGTAAGAAAATAAACAACAAAGAAATACTTACAACGGTAATTAATATCAAATTGATGTCTTCAATTACTAACCAAAGATGAAAAAGAAAAGTGCAAACAACGATTTAGAAAAAAAGAAATTGACTTTAGGAGCGAGCAGCTGCTAAATGAAAGTTAAATAAAATCAATTAAACTTTAAAGATATATTATGACAATTTTTTTAACAATAACAACTGTATTTTATTAATAAAAGTAATGAAAAGAATCAAAATACAACGCTCTAAAAATGAGAGAAAAATAAAATGATGAAAGTTAAAATAATATTATTGCATATTCTTTAAAAAAAATTATGATTTTAAAATTTTATGCATCTTCGTCAATTTGTATCTTCTGAAGTTTTTCAAATTCTTTAAAACTACACATATTTCAAACAGTTACAATTCTTTAATGTGATTCTCGAAAGACTCATGTGATCTGTAATCTGTTATCTGACAATCAGATCTATTTAGTCAGACAACTTTCAAATAATCATTATTATCTTATGCTTCGTACTTGCACTAAAGACCAATATATAAGTCACTATAAGAGGCTGGTGAAGGAACTTATCACTCTCTATTGTTCATCATCTCTTTCAATCGTTAAATCATCAATTGTGATTTTCTACTTAAATCGTAATAGATGTACAGTCCAAAAATCATCACGATCCAATTTTTCCCATAAAAAACATACGATGTTAAATTTTAATAAAGTTTAAATTTAATTTAATTCATTTATATATATTATATAAAAAATAGATTCTAATATTTATTTTTTCCCCGAATTTTCCATCTTCCTTTATCCTTCTTAATGTGAAAACGAAGTTTGTTTGTAGCATCTTCCTTTTGCCTTAACAACATTGTAACAGGATTTTAGAATCTGTCTCACCCACCTTTGTTCGACATGATCTTACAACTATATTTAGCTTATATGTACACAACTAATTCATAATTGATTTAAATCATCAATTTTTTCCTTGCATAATCTCACCTTTCGCACTATTGGATTTAGTTAAATCATCAAACAACCTTAATAGTTAAGGAGAGTGTTATTATCTTTAAATATTTTGGATTTAAACAACGACGTATGCCGGGCGTGTGTGCATTCATTGTCAATTGATTAAGAGAATTTTAAATATATATTATCTTGTAATTATAACTAATAAAAAATAATAAATTAGTGACACTTGTTGGCATTATTGTTTCTAAATTGGAAAAATAAAGTGGATAGAGAGAATAGTAGGTAAGATGATGATGTTTGATCATGTGTACATATAAGCTAAATATAGTTGTAATTCAACTAATTCATAATTGAGAAGAACCCTTAAAGAATCGGCCATTGACAATAGGGCATGCAAAAATGAAAGAAATGTGGTTTGGTACAAGAGAAAGCTTTGGGGTCAACGTATAATATGCAAGGTTGGTTACTTTTCAAGGAACCTTAAATCCCCATGGAATTCAGTCCCTTTTGGTAAACTGTGAAACCACTTTTGGGGAAATTACCCAATTTAGTGTGGTTTTGGTCAGTTTTGTTGGTGAACAAGATCAAGTGAGGGTGATCATTAAAGGGGATCATGAAATTATGGTACAAGTATATCTACTATCTACCACCTTAAGGCCTACCCTACACTAAAAAGTCCCATCTAACTTTAACTAACCATGGGTCCCCATGAGGACCTTTTTGTAATCAAATTTATTTATTCAATAAAGAAGACAAAATCACCAAGAATAATCTATCAAGATGGATAATTTTATTATAAACATCTTTGTTTATATGGCAGGTTGTTTGTGTAGTCTCTCACATATTCATGCTATTTAAGATTAAAATGAAAGAAATAAATAATAATGAATTAAAATTTATACGAATTTTATTAAAAAAGAAACAATATGTGTGATTCATGTCGAATACACATATTTATATGGGTCAATAGGGCAGCGATGACGACGATAAGTATATACATTGTCTTTGATCACTTAATAAATACATATTTAGAAGATTATATTTAAACACCTTTTTTATAAAAAATCATATATAAATTATTAAGTTTAAAAAAATAAAAAGATTAATAGTTTTATCTTTTTAGAGAATTTTTTTATTCTTTAAAATTTAAAAGATAAAAATAATAATTTATTGTGTTTCTATCTTATTCATGCACCAACCATGCAATAGATACCTAAAAAGGTTTAATTTAATTTATATAGATTTTATATAAAAATATTAAATATAACATTAGCATATTTTTAAATAAATATTAATACAACTTTAAAAATAATTAATATATGTCAAAAGAAAATTAACACCTCTAATTTGTTTCTACAAAAATGAATTTTATATAACTTTTTTTAAAGTTTATAATCATAATTTACATTTTTTTTAACTTAATCTTCATCAGTTAATACATAATTTTGTCAATTACTTGAAAAAATAATACAGCCAATACAAACTAAATTTTAAACTGGTGTGAAATTAAAAGGTAAGAGTCTGTTTGGTTCTAGATAGTATTTTTTATTTTTATTTTTGTTTTAAGAAAATAGTTTTTATTTTAAGTTTTTTTTTAAAATTAGAAAACATGTTTGGTTGATATAAACGAAAACTTGAATCAAAAATAAAATAATAAAAACATACTTGGCATCTAATTATTAAAAATAAACATGAATAAATGATTATTAAAATTTTAAATTAAAATATAATTATTAAAAAAATCATTACATTAATTCAACATGTGAGTTACGCTAATATAAAATAATAAAGTCGATAATAAATTTCATAACACAAAAATTGTTTTAGTTTATAATAAGAATATAATGTTATGCTATATTGTAGATCAATTAAATTTAAAAAGTACGCAAAAATATTGTTATAAGCAATAACACACAAAAATATCATTAAAATAAAAATGTGTTTAAAGATAATAGAGGCCCTCAAACTTTCAAGAAAAAATAATTAGTGTAGCCCCTGAACGTTTTTTGCACTGAAAAAAATTAATATAACCCTTTGAAGAACGGAATCAAACGTTGACAGTCACAACGCTTACATGACAATTCATAAACTTACATGACAATCTACAATATCGATATGATAGTTTACGATATTGTTGTTGTGATACACGATAGATGATGATGTGGTAGATGGACCTAATTAATTTGTTTGACTAAGTTTGATGGCTTAATAGATTTTTTAGAAAGTTTGAAGATTTACTTATTTGAAAAAATCAAAAATATAAACAATTATTAAGATATTAAATACATTAAATATAAAAATACTACATAAT